CATCCAGGCAAAGAGGAGACCAGCCTGACCTCTCCCATCAACTGGAGAAGCCACATCCATTGGGAGTTTAACAGCCTGTATTAAATTTAATTAACTAGGCCCATCCAGCCAGGGTTTTTAATCACCTCCCCAAATAAAAACCAGTCTCTTTCCCATCAATCCTGGCAACCATTTGATTTTAATCCTTTGGATAGGGACCGTTCTGTTTCTGAGTCACTCTTGGGAAGAGCTAGCCCTTTTCTGAAGTTGAACAATTTTGAATAGAGGAGAAAAGACTTGATGGAAAAGAGACACCAACACTGGTAGTGTGCACCCTGTTTTGTGGTGAAACAGGATTAATGTTATGCTGGTTTTATAGAATTTACATCCTGCCATTCCACTTCAGTGATGCCTGAGGTGGCTAACACAACAGCACAAAAAGATACAAAAATCACAATAAGCGAATCAATTAAAAACACACGAGAAACATAATGAGGCAGGCCTTCATGTGGGAATCTTCTCCCATTAATTTCCTGTGATGAGACTCCTGCATTACTTTGACAGACCATATTGCACCTTAATTGTATTTTCCCCCAGTGCTTTGGATGGCACAGTTTAATCATTTTTAAAGCAGATATAATAAAATATTGACAGAACAGAAGATTTCCTAAAGAAAAACTGCATTTTTACCGATGTTCTAGCTTGAGCTGCTGCCTGAAATAAAGATGTTTTGGTTTTGAAAGATGAGGAAGGAGCAGAAGACTTTATGCCAGCAACATTCATCAACTTTAACAATGTTAAAAGGGTGATTTAAGAAAAGGCTCGCCTTTCTGAATGTGTGGACTTGTTGATTGTAGCCTTGAGTTGGGATTTTATTTCATAGAATGCATCTAAATTTTGTTCTATTATTTTTGTAAAATACACAACCCTTTGACCACATCAATTTTCTATTATTTGGTTTTATTTCGATTTTTATCTGTTGTCTCAGAATTGGTCTTTAGAATTGATCAATGACTGTAATAAAGTTGATTGATTGATTGGTACCTGTGGCTGATAAAGGGTCTTTTATCTTAAAAGCCCAATTGAGCTTCCAGGAAAGGGGGGGGTGTCCTTTGAAGGGCCTGCCATCTCCCCATCCCTTTCTCCAAAGGGAAAGGAAGAACAGTCAAATAGCATCCTCTTTTTTTCTGACTGTGCAGCATCAATATTCATTCTGACCTTTGGAAGAAGCATCCAGCACCTCAGCAGTGTTTTGTAGTTCTGGCGACTTCCTTGACAAAGCCAACTTAGGGATTCATCCTGGCTGACAAAGGAGCCGGCCTGACAGGATTTCTCATTAAGTTGTATCCCTGCAAATGGGAGGCTGACAGAGCTTTAAATTCTGGAGAAAAAGCGAAACTGACATTGCAGAGATACCTGCCTGCACATCCAGGCCTCCCACCCTTCTCTTCCCTGCCTCCCTCCTCTCCACCCCCACCCCCCCAAATGCTTACTGTCCTATGCAGTGCTTTTTTTGTAAAAAAAAAAAAAAAAAAAAGTGCCGGAACTCACACACGTCATACAACCCGCCTTGCCTACTCTACAAGGTTCCATCCAAAAAAGGTGCCGGAACTCTGTTCTGGGCGTTCTATGACAAAAAAAGCCCTGGTCCTATGTTAACCAAACATTGGAAGAAAGCACAAAACATGCGTGCTGGGGTAAATAAGGGACTACGTGGAGTCCCTGAGTTGTGGTGTTGTGTTGCTTCTCCTTATCTGCAGGGGCCACAATGTGGGGGCTGGACATCCAGCCTGTGTGTGTTTGTGTTGAATTCTTTCTTTCCTTTATTTGCCCTCTGAGGTGTTAGATCAC